CTCAATGTGGCTCCCTTAAAAGTTGTGACAAATTTCGAACAGTTGCGATCATCCGGTTGGGGCATTTAAGTCGGCAACAGGCGGGTTATATTCGCCGCTGTTAGAACATCTCCTGCCCGCTTCCATAGTTTCGCGTTATGCATGGAAAAAGATCCTGTTGGTTCTAGTTTTCTCTGCATGTGGATGCTCACGCACACTACACTCAATTTCGTTTCGTGGAGAGAGAGAGACTTTCGATACAAACTTGCCCCCTTATTTTCTTCACGATCAGCTACTCTCTAGATGGAGAACTGTGCTTCCACGTCTAAGACAGCACAGCTGATAAACCGTAAATGCTGACTCGATCGGGAGGGATTGGAAAGCACAGATATTAATCAGATAGTGACCCGTAGGAGGAGAATAATGATTTAAGGTTAAAGTATGAAAGATACTGCACCAAATAATTTAATCGGTATGCAGTCCAAACGATACAAGATCGATCACGCGACATGAATAACGAACCCTCCCCCCCCCCCCCGGNCTATCCCGTCGTTCATCGGGCCGTTCTGATTGGACCGTTTTTCATTATCCATTTACACGAGAAAACACAACCCACCTTTGCGACCTTGTTGGGGGCATCGCGCCTCGCGAATCAAATCCTTCACTACTTTCATTCTCTAATTAACCTTGTTGACCGCCCTGGAAATCTCAATTTATGGCCTATTAATCGGTGGAATGTGTTGACTCCTTGCCAAGATGTTTCTCTGTGTGAAAACCGGTGAACACGGGTAGAAGCTAGCTGGGATCGATGAATGAACCATGGGAAATACTGCACAACATCGAACACATAACTCTGTATGACTCTAGCTTTAGCTTTATTGATTACCTGATACAGTGGGTGCTCTGGGACAGAGTTCGTGTGCGCAAAAATCACTTGAGAAATTTACTGAATTATATGGGATCATGTGGACTGGGAACAGCTCAGATTTGTCCGAAATAAGACTAGTTCAATTCCCATGGACCGGTTTTTGACGGAAATAATTCAAAAAATGCGGACATATTAAAATAACTCTTATTGCAACAGAAATTTGAGACGAAAAGTAATAAAGACCTGAGAAAAACAAAAATGGAGTGTAAATGTTCGATTCAGAAATGCAAGATGGCCCTGGTCGCCACCACATCATGATAATCGTACATGATTATACGATTGCCAATATACTTATGCAGTTTACTGACAGTGTCTGCCTTCACTTCACTTCGCGTTTCGTTCTTCGTCTGACACATCTTCCTCAATAGGTAGGGCATCTCCCTCGGAAATCGCGTCAAGAGGACAAATCCTGTCTGAATCATCGGTATGAACCGGTTTCCGGTCAATCACGGAACGCATGCGCCGTTCATCGGAAACAGATGTTGGGCCGAAGAACGAAATCGAATCGATTAGCTCTCCGACAACACGATCTGAGAGGAGAGACCGAGGGCAAGAAAAAGCTGCGAATTGCTGATAAAATGAAATGAGATCATTTCTATAATCATTACCTCCCCAGGCGAGTAATTTCGATTATTGGGTCAAGTGAGTTTCCCCGATCTACTTTGATGCATGCATGATTCATGAATCACATCCAATCACTTTAGAAAAATATCTCACACGCCTGAATCCAGACTGTGGGACGAACACACCTCGACAAAATGATATTCTTAGAAAAAAGTTCCGTGATCGAATCAGGTGAATCTCGAAAACACAGATAATGCACTTTCGGAAAAATAAAGGCTGAAGGGATAGTAACGTGCAATTGGAAAAAAGGTTGTAGGAGGGTAGAAAAACAGCTCTTACACAGTCTTCGATCGACAGACATTTTGGTTGCTACATAAACTCATATTGTTCGCATTAGCACACACCGCTGACGAATTGGCATTCTTATACATACATGTCCCTGGTGTCCTTTAGCCACCTACCTCATTCATGAATGGTCGGTATGACCCACTGATTAATGGACACATCTGCATCCTCAAACGAATAAATAGGCTTAGAAAACAATACCAGGGTACTATTTAAATCAACAATCTCTCCGGGCACACCCTCTGCCGTTAAACTTAATCCACCGTCATCCAACGAAAACTGAACCGATCTGGAAACAGCGACAACATCTAACGCCCAGCGTCTACTGATGACGTAACATGAAGTCGACCGCAATACAGAATTCGCAATTATCTACGGATCGTCCAATCAATGCCAGGTAATTTAGATCCACAAAAATACAGTCGCTACCCTATAACCCTGCAGCAAAAAGCATGTTAGCCTCTCTCATTAAATAAATGTGAGAAGTCTTTTTTCAACTAAATCAAATACAGAATCATCCAGTGTTATTTATCATTATTCTCCATTCAGGCGATGGAAACTTTCAGATTAAGGAAGCATTAAAACATTAGCAGTTAACACAACAGTTCATCTACCCGACACATACCTTTGTCCAAGCGCTCTCGAATCGGCTTGATCCGGCTTACAAGCGGAAGAAAATCGTACAACCAGTGACAACGATTCGCGATTCGGAATTGGGTGAATCCGCACAACTGATCAAACGGTGGAACGGAACAGTCCGTGAGATCGCTCAATGCATCTCGACGCTGTTGAGCGGATTTCCATGCATCATGTACAAATGGACCACGCAATGGACGAAACCCGCGTTTAGATTGGTTCCGTGAATCCGGTGAGCCGGAGCTGGACTGCTCCTCCTCGATCATATCGTGTGCGAGCAGGAGGGCGCGAATAACCACCAGTGCTCCATAGTGCCGACTAGCCCCACACGAGAATGGGCGACTGGAACCAGCAACTGTATCACTGGTATTCCAATCGGCTGCCGGAGTGAGACCAAGGCGCCAGTTCATTCCACCGGACAAGCAAGAATCTGCCCAGCTCATATGTTGTGAGACCCATTCGATGGCCGACATGTTAGGCATGAAATCCGGAAAGTTTTCGTGCAACCAGGACATGATCTGATCCCCACTCATCTGACACTGTTCCAGAACATCCTGAATAGTCGAGGAATGAGAGAAAGAGATCGAAGAATTATGCAAACAGCATCCTAATCAGGATGATAATCTCTACACATTTAAAAGGTCAAGCAATTCTTCAAATGAAAAGATAAAACGTCATGATTTTTCGCATAAAATGGCATATGCTGCATGAGCTTGAGCCAATATACATATGGTGAGTAGTAAATGAATGATCACCTCAGGGGACATCCACTAAAGTTGAAAACCCAGAATAGACACCTTGATTGCCGGGATCACCCGTTTGTAGCCAGAGTATGCGGTGTATGGAATTCTCTTCCATCCGATGTAATGTGTGCTCCTACAGTTGAACTATTCAAATCGCAACTTGATAAAGCATTG